GAAGAAGCCATCAAAAGACTACCAACTAAGAAAAGCCCAGGACCGGATGGGTATACAGCAGAGTTTTACAAAACCTTTAAAGAAGAACTAATACCAATACTTTTCAAGCTACTTCAGGAAATAGAAAAAGAGGGAGAACTTCCAAATTCATTCTACGAGGCCAACATCAACCTGATTCCTAAACCACACAGAAACACTTCAAAGAAAGAAAATTACAGACCAATATCTCTAATGAACCTAGATGCAAAAATCCTCAACAAAATTTTGGCGAATCAGATACAAAAACATATCAAAAAAATTGTGCACCATGATCAAGTAGGATTCATCCCTGGGATGCAAGGCTGGTTCAATATACGGAAATCAATAAATGTTATTCACCACATCAATAGACTTAAAAATAAGAACCATATGATCGTCTCGATAGATGCGGAAAAAGCATTCGACAAAGTACAGCATCCCTTTATGTTCAAAACTCTAGAAAAACTAGGGATAACAGGAACATACCTCAATATTGAAAAAGCAATCTATGCTAAGCCTCAGGCTAGCATCATTCTGAATGGAGAAAAACTGAAGGCATTCCCTCTAAAATTTGGAACAAGACAGGGATGCCCTCTCTCACCACTTCTGTTAAACATAGTTCTCGAAACACTGGCCAGAGCAATTAGACAGACGAAAGAAATTAAAGGCATAAAAATAGGAAAAGAAAAACTTAAATTATCACTATTTGCAGGTGACATGATTCTATACCTAGCAGACCCAAAAGGGTCTACAAAGAAACTATTAGAGCTAATAAATGAATTCAACAAAGTGGCAGGATATAAAATCAACATGCATAAATCAAAGGCATTCCTGTATATCAGCGACAAATCCTCTGAAATGGAAATGAGGACAACTACTCCATTCACAATACCCTCAAAAAAAATAAAATACTTGGGAATCAACCTAACAAAAGACGTGAAAGACTTATACAATGAAAACTACAGAACCCTAAAGAGAGAAATAGAAGATCTTAGAAGATGGAAAAATATACCCTATTCATAGATAGGCAGAACTAACATCATCAAAATGGCGATATTACCCAAAGTTCTCTATAGGTTTAATGCAATGCCAATCAAAATCCCAATGGCATTTCTTGTAGAAATAGATAAAGCAATCATGAAATTCATATGGAAAAATAAAAGACCCAGAATAGCAAAAACAACTCTAAGCAGGAAGTGTCAATCAGGCGGTATAGCGATACCAGACTTCAAACTATACTACAGAGCAATAGTAACAAAAACAGCATGGTACTGGTACCAAAACAGGCGGGTGGACCAATGGTACAAATAGAAGACACAGAAACCAATCCACAAAATTACAACTATCTTATATTTGATAAAGGGGCTAATAGTATGCAATGGAGGAAGGATAGCATCTTCAACAAATGGTGCTGGGAAAACTGGAAATCCATATGCAACAAAATGAAACTGAATCCCTTTCTCTCACCATGCACAAAAGTTAACTCAAAATGGATCAAAGAGCTTGATATCAAATCAGAGACATGGCGTCTGATAGAAGAAAAAGTTGGCTACGATCTACATACTGTGGGGTCAGGCTCCAAATTCCTCAATAGGACACCCGTAGCACAAGAGTTAATAACCAGAATCAACAAATGGGACTTACTCAAACTAAAAAGTTTTTTCTCAGCAAAAGAAACAATAAGAGAGGTAAATAGGGAGCCTACATCCTGGGAACACCTCAGATAGAGCCCTAATATCCAGAGTATACAAAGAACTCAAAAAATTAAACAATAAGAAAACAAATAAACCAATCAACAAATGGGCCAAGGACCTGAACAGACATTTCTCAGAGGAGGACATACAATCAATCAACAAGTACATGAAAAAATGCTCACCATCTCTAGCTGTCAGAGAAATGCAAATCAAAACCACCCTAAGATACCATCTCACTCCAGTAAGATTGGCAGCCATTAGGAAGTCAAACAACAACAAGTACTGGCGAGGATGTGGGGAAAAGGGTACACTTGTACATTGCTGGTGGGACTGCAGATTGGTGCAGCCAATTTGGAAAGCAGTATGGAGATGTCTTGGAAAGCTGGGAATGGAACCACCATTTGACCCAGCTATTCCCCTTCTCGGTCTATTCCCTAAAGACGTAAAAAGAGCATACTACAGGGACACTGCTACATCGATGTTCATAGCAGCACAATTCACAATAGCAAGACTGTGGAACCAACCTAGATGCCCTTCAATAGACAAATGGATAAAAAAATGTGGCATTTATACACAATGGAGTATTACTCTGCATTAAAAAATGACAAAATCATAGAATTTGCAGGGAAATGGATGGCATTAGAGCAAATTATGCTAAGTGAAGCTAGCCAATCCCTAAAAAACAAATGCCAAATGTCTTCTTTGATATAAGGAGAGTAACTAAGAACAGAGTAGGGACGAAGAGCATGAGAAGAAGATTAACATTTAACAGCGATGAGAGGTGGGAGGGAAGGGGAGAGAGAAGGGAAATTGCATGGAAATGGAAGGAGACCCTCAGGGTTATACAAAATTATAAACAAGAGGAAGTGAGGGGAAAGGGAAAAAAAACAAGGGGGAGAAATGAATTACAGTAGATGGGGTAGAGAGAGAAGAGGGGAGGGGAGGGGGGATAGTAGAGGATAGGAAAGGCAGCAGAATACAACAGACACTAGTATGGCAATATGTAAATCAGTGGATATGTAACCGATGTGATTCTGCAATCTGTATACGGGGTAAAAATGGGAGTTCATAACCCACTTGAATCAAAGTGTGAAATATGATATGTCAAGAACTATGTTATGTTTTGAACAACGAACAATGAAAATTAAAACAGTAGTTCTGAAAAAAAAGAAGAGGGGTGAGGATGTGGCTTGGTGGTTAAGAGCCCCTGAATTCAATCCCTGATACAAAAAAAATAATAATAATAATAATAATGTGTATATATATATATATATATATATATATATATATATATATATATAAATATAAATATATGTGTGTGTGCATGTATGTATGTATGTATGTATATAAAGATATATCTAAGATATATTACTGAGTTAAAAAAAGCTTGTAAATTCACACTTGCATTAAAAACCTGTTTTAACATATATGTCTATATAAATAGGAAAATGTCTGAAAGAATACATATCAAAAGTAACAATGATTGCTTATATTGGAAATGAAGTGTGGCAACAGTAAAGAGAAGGTTCTTAACTTACAGTTAGTTTAATTTTAACTTACAATTAGTTTAATTTTAATTTTATCTACCCACATATCTTTTGGTATGTATGTCTGAATTCTGTATTGTTATATAAGCATTCACTACTTTGTAAAAATGTTTTCTTAAAATGTCTAATCTTATAACAATAAGGTAAGATTAGTATTTAGCAATCATGTGGATTTAGAATATATCAGTGACTTAAATAGACAAAGATAAGCTTAAATTCCTAGGCTGGGGTTGTGACTCAGTGGTAAAGTACTTGCCTAGCGTGTATGAGGCACTGGGTTCAATTCTTAGCACTGCATGTAAATAAATAAATAAAATAACAACTAATAAAAATATTTTTTAAAAAGGCTTAAATTCCTTAATTGAAGACAAACAAAATGAAACAATACTTCCTCTAAATTTATATACATTTGGATATATAAAGTGCATACATACATTATTTATATATACACATACATGCACACACAATGATTATAATGTATGTGTACATACAAAACAAATAATTTAAAGAAAAAATGAAGTAGAAAAGTAAGACACAGACTCTTTGGGGACAATTTTAATTTATGTAAGAACATGACATCTACGTAAAGATCCAAATGAGATGAGGGTGTGGGCATACAAATACCTGGAGAATAATCATTCTAGGTAGAAGAAAAAGCCAATGAATCCCAAAAGCAGAAGCGTACTGATATGTGATATATTTGAGGATCACAGTGGGGATGTATGAGGGTTTTTTTAATCTTTTAAAATTGTTTTTAGTTGTCAATGGACCTTTACTTTATTTATTTATATGTGGTGCTGAGAATCAAACCCAGGGCCTCACACAAGCCAGGCAAGCGCTTTCCGCTGAACTCCAACCCCAACCCCATGGGATCATATGATTTCAGAATAGTAAGTGATAAGAAAGTCAGTAGAAAATGAAAGTCAAAGATGTCATGGTCCTCAGGACCTAGTGAGACTGTAAAGAGCAGAAGAGGATTAGAGTAACATGATGTAACTGAAATTATAAAAGCAAAGGTTCTGGCACTTGTGTTGACTATATAGAGAACAGACTGTAAACAGAAGTTTAGTAATCCAGGTGAAACACACAACAATGGCAGGGACCAGTGGAGCAGTAAGGAGTGGCACAGTTTTGATGTACTTTGAAGGTTAAAAAAAAACCAAGATTTTTTCATAGAATGGCAGAGAGTTATGACAGAAAGGAGTCATGATGGATGAAGATGGCTACAGAGAAGGAGCAAATTTTAGAAGATCCTGATCCAAGAAAACATAAATAGTGGTAATTCAAGATCATTTCTTCTCTCCTCATAGATCAGGGTTCTATTTAGGACATGATGAATTTGAGCATTAGACAATCAAATGGAGTATATTCAAGTCACAGTGGAATGATCATACTTAGACTATTTAAGTATTCACCACATCAACATATCAAAGCCTAGGCATAGAATAAACAAGTAAATGTCTACTACCTGACTTATTTTAATTCAGAAAATAGATTAATAATAACATCTTTATAAAAGTATAAGTAAAATTCCTATAATAAAATGTCTTTGGTTTATACCAACATTTATTTCACACATTTCAAAGATACAGAATTATCTCCTGCTCTTATTTCTTAAAAATGTTACATCCTATCTCTTTGTTAAAGTTATATTTTATTCATAAAATAACCATTCCAGATGATACTATCATTGTTACTAAGCTACAAATACCGCTGAATGAAGTTTTAAGTAAATAGATACCTTGGGTCCACCTTGGCCTCACTAATGGCTTGCAGCTTCTCCTGTAGAGAATAAATTTCTGCCCTATGATTTTCTTCAGTTTCTTTCAATTGTTGGCGCAAAAAGCATATGAAGTTTTCTAATTCTTGAATTTGTTCTTCAAGTTGTTTAATTTTTTTGGTATCTTACAGAGAAGATAACAGGAAGAGAAGACAATACACATTTCAATACAAACTTCTCAGTGAAATAACAATCATTTTATTTCAATGTATAAAAATATTTATTCTTTGAAAAATGTTTTGAGTGAAACTCAGGTTTTAATTTGACTCATTCTGACTGAAGAAAACGATATGATTCAAGATCATTTCTCCTATCCTTATGGTATGGTATCTCTAAATTCAACAATTTTATATCTTTAAAACAATTCAGAAACATGAAACAAAAGAGGTGTTGAAAAGGGACCAGAGGAGAGTAGTTCACACCTTTCACTTTCCTCTTTTATTTTTATTTCTAAAAAATGCTGATAGTTAATCACTAAACTAACTTTTTTGCCAATTAAATGAGCCATTAGTTAACATGCAATTTGGGAAATAGTGGACAGACTACCTCAAGAAGATATCAATTAAAAAAAATACAAACTTAAAATATTACTATATTCAAAGAACCACTGAAGTGAAAAAGCATGGTATTATCTGATATGCTTGAAATTCTATTCTGTTCACCAAAGCAATTCCAATAATAAAACTCATTCCTAAAAGCAAAAGTGAAGGCCTAGAGATACCTTGAACACAAGAAGTCTAGTTAACTGGCCAAATAATCATGAAAGAAAAACATTAACTGTGACTAATTGTTTATGGTTTATTGTATGGTCCCTTAACATTGTTGCTTCCCATTATGCCATCTTGGTCTTTTAACTCACTCTCTAGTTTCCCCTGATAACTCATTCTTGTCCTTGACCTTTTGTCCTTGACATTCATGCTGATTATAAATCTTTACCTCATACTTAAATTTTTCTCCCAGGTTTCAGACTTCTATTTTCAACTAACTCCTATATATTTTTTCAAAGTCAATAAGTATTCTATTCTTAACTCAATATATTTAAAACTGAATTTATTATTTTTTTCACAAATTGGTTCCTTTCTATGACTAGAACCATACTCTAGTTTCTTAAGCTAGAAACTTGGGAATCATTCTTAATTTCTGCTAACATTAACGACAAACTAGAGCCTAACTCTAAGTGTTGAACTTAACTTTCTATCATACTCAATTCAATCTGACTGGTCTTCCCTTCAATAATTTCATCCCTTCCAACTGATCCTAATGGTATCACCTTAAAATAAAAATCTTATTGTTATTCCCACTATTTAAAATCCTGCTGTAGGTCTTATCACGAATAGCATAAAACATAAACATGTTTTATCAGAGTACATAAAACCTTTCCTGATCAAGCTCCTTCCAATCTCTCCAGTTTTATCTAGCTAACACAACCTGAACTCCCAGTTCTCCCAAATGGATGCAATCTTAGATAGAGCTCAATGCTTAAGACTCCATAGCCTTCCCCAAATTTCCAACCCAATTACTCCTGCCCATACCCTCATCCTACTCATCTCCCCAGGAAAGACAAGACTCTTTTTTCTCCCTCCATTATCTACATTTCAGAAATTTTCAGTTTATTTTATATATGCTTTCCCAATGGATTATGATTTCCTATGGGAAAATGACTCAGTAATTTTCGTTTTCTCTAGCACTTCAATGAATATCCAATGATTATATGAACAAATAAGACTAGGGCTTAGATACACAAGTCACCTTTCCCTATGAGTTCTAAGGACAGAATTATGAAATGGTGGACTCTAAGTGATGCTTCATGGTAATTATAAGTCAGAAACTATTTACCTGTTTCTTGTGTTTTTACATTCTGTAGTTCTAACTGGTATATTTTCTGAAGTTCCTTGATCTTTTCCTCTTGAGTAGAAATAAGCTCCTCTTTAAGATTGCAAAGAGCTTTATCTTTTTCATTTTCCATATATTCACGAACCTGATCCACGTGAGCTGAATAAACCAGTGAAAGGCATATGCGCTGAGCTTCCATCTGTAGCCTTAAATCATTCTGAAAGTGAATATATATTAGAAAAATTTAAAATAATTTACTATAAAATAATTTGCTTTTTGCATATACTAAAACAAGAGGAGAAATAAATTATAGTTTAAAACTTCATAAGAGAACCAATGACATTTTTTTCTTCATTCTTCATTCAGTTATACTGAGCTACTTCTTTTTTCAAGGAGAGTAGTATCATTACCTCAATTTTGTAGCAAATTTTGATATTTGGTATAGCTTATGATTTGTCCATATTGGAGAGTCTTTATTCTGACTGTCCGGGACTGCTCCCTACAGGAACAAGTTGTCTCTGCAGGAAACAGCCTAGAGCCTCAACATTTTAGGATATTTAAAGGCGAAAACCACATCCAGATTGACTTGGCAACCACCAAGCAAGCAAGCAAGAAGTAGTACAGAAGCTGAATAAAGCCATTAGCGAAACAATGCAATGTCTTAATCAAATTTTCATCTCATTCATTTCTCCTGGGATTTTTTCATAATCATAATCAAAAGAGAAATGGATCAAAGTGACCCTAGTTGAATACAAATTAAAGAATGGCTACTAACATCTAATCAATTATTCCCCAGTAAGGTACACTGCCCAAGGAAAATGGGAACCAAAGAGAACAATTTTACATTGTGTAAGAATTGCTATTCTGTATTGCAAGTAGGCTATGCTAGGCAATTAGTATGTGGTACAGTGATGGGGCTTTCCTATGGGAGAAGCTCTTCTTACGTAATATGGAGTCTCAAGGTAAAATGAAGTTTGTTTGGTCATTGCTTATATAGTCTGGCCTATAACATTCCCCACTGGTTTTATGGAACTAATCAAATCATTAATTAATCATCACTGGTTTACAGCTACTGTAGTGAGTATGGAGGACCATCAGTTTCACAGAATGTATTTTTTGTTTTATATATCTTATTAAATAAACAGTTAAAGATGCAGGGTCCAATTAAAAACCCTAAGAGGACTAACAGCAATGGATCCGCTACAGCTGTGTAAGAGTAGTTAGCCAAGGAGACCAGGAGAACAAATTTTCATACCAATTTCTCTCATGTTGTCTTGGCTCTTCCTTATCTTTCATTTTTATTTTCAAATAATATTTTATTTTCATGGCACTGGGAATTGAACCCAGGGGTGCTCTCTACCAGTGAGCTACATTTCCAGCCCTTTTTTTTTTCTAATATTTTCATTTTTATGTGGTGCTGAGGATCGAACCCAGTGCTTCACATATGTGAGGCAAGCGCTCTGCCACTGATCCACAATCCCAACCCCAGCCCTTTTTGAGGCAAGGTCTCAACAAGTTGCCAAGGTTGGTCTTGAACTTAGAACCCTCCTCTGCCTTAGTCTCCCAAACAGCTGGGATTACAGGCATGCACCACCATGCCTGGATTTAAAATACTATTTTAAATATGGAAAAATGCAAGCAATAAACTCAAAACCCAAATTAACAAGTACTATAACATTTTGTCTATTTTTTTCATTCCCTATATTCCCTATACACTTCTATGTTCTCATCACTCCTTCCTCATAGGCAACCATAATCATAATTTGGTACAAATCCAGTCCAATTCTTACATTATCACTTCTCATTACAATACATTTTGCATTCTCAATGCACTGTATATTTTGTATTTTTATGGACTTACACAAATAATATTAATTTTACAAATTTATTTTCTCATTCAATATGTCTCTGGTATTATTCCATGTAGGTAACGGGGGGTTTAATGCCCAGTACCACAAACAAACAAACAAACAAAAAAAAAATTAGCAGCATGTAGGCAACAGGTTAATTCATTTTAACTGTGGTATTATGACTATATCAAAATTTGTCCATTTCCTTTCAGGAGATAAACTGGTTTATTCCTAGTTTTTGGATATTTAAAAAAATACTGCTGTTAAATTCTTACACACACCCTTAGATAAATGTGCTAATTTCTTTCTAATTAGTGGTTCTCAAATGTAACATGCATCAGAATCACTTGGAATGCTTATTAAAACAGGTTACTTTAGGAACCTATCCCCATCCCCACGGTTTCTGATTCGGGAGAGGTCAAAGAGCTTTGAATTCTAACCCGTTACCAAGGAATGCTGTGCTTCTGGTCAGGAACACTTTGAGAACTACTTAGAAATATAACTGCTAGGTCACAGATAGTGCATTTTTAACTGTGCTAGATTTGATCAAATTATTTTTATATAACAGTACTAATTTACAATGCTACCAGAAGGTTGAGTACTTATATACTCACATCCTCACCATTCTTTATATCAGACTAACTTCACCAACCTAATGGGTATAAAATGTTATTTTATTTTTACACTGAATAGTAAGGTTGAAAGAATATTTTCATGTTTATTAGATACTTTGATTTCCTATTCAGGCACATGTCTTTCACATCTTTTGCCCATTATTATTTTGTTTTTGGACCTCTTGTTACATTAATTGTTCTTTCTATATTCTTGATAGCTTTTGTTTGCAACTTACATACATGGCAAATACCTAGTCCCAGTCCTCAAATCTGTTTTACATTATTGTTTTTAAAAGACACAATTAAAATTTTAAATCTTTTCCCATGCTTTGTCTTTATTAAAAGTCTTTCCCTATCTTAAGATTCTATTTTCTTCTTATGTGTACATTTTTAATCAACCTGATTTGTTTCCCTAAAGCAACAAGGATCTAATTCCCTAACTTCTAACCTCTAGTATCAAAAGTCAATTGTGCTCAAAACAATTTTGTTTTTTTTCCTCCCAAACAATTTTGAATACTCTAAGCTTCTCCTGCTAATTTGGTTTATTTTTTGATTTCCTTTGTCTCTGCTCAAATATCATCTCACCAAAGTAGTCTTCCTTGACCTACCCTATGCAAAAAAAGCCCTACACTTAGGGAGATCTTATTCTTCTTATCATACTATAATTTTATTCATAGCACTTAAGACCACCAGAAATATTTGTTTGTATTTTCTAATGTTCATTTAAACCCTAAAACGTAAACTTTATTCTTCCTTGACCATTTTTATTCACTGTTAAATTATGAATGACTTGAACAGTGCCTGGAATGTAGTAGAGATTCACTAAGTGATTCATTGATTTGTAGGGCCTTCTTGCCACATACTAAATTTTTACAAGATACAGATCTGTTCTGGGCTTTCCATTATATTCCACTGATCTACTTAACCATCCTGGCGTCAAACCATATTGTTTATAATGATTTTGTAATAAGTTTTGATAACAAATATATACTTTTTAGGATTGTCTTGAGTATTCTTGGCTATTTACTCTTCTATATCAATTTTAGAATCAGTATTCCACATTCATTAAGAAACCTTATTGTAATTTTGACTAGAACTATTAATTAGGAGAGAACTGATATTTTTCTTTGTATCTTTCCATTATGGATATGATATGTATTAGCACACAGTCAGGTCTTTCTGTCCTTCAATATTTTATAATTTTCTTAACAAAAACTCAAAACATCTTATCTTGGGTTTAAAGTTTTGCCTCATCTGTTCATATTTTTTCTCATTTCCTATTCTTGTCATATTGCAAGAACTGGAGAAGCATTCACTAAGAACTACAAAACCATGTTGCAATAGTAATGTTGACAACGGGTATGTATCCTAGTCCTATACTTGATTCTAATGGAAATGCTTCTAAATTTCACCATCAGAAATATAATCTGTCAACATTTTGATGAAAACCAGCATCATGACTAGAAAATTTCCCTGCTATTCCTGATTTCCGAAAGCTTTTTTTTTAATTTATAAATGGGTTGTCAATTTTTTATGAATTTTTTTCTGATATGTACTAAAATAATCATGGATTTTGTCTTGCTACATAAAAATGTAGAGATTACAGTCACACATTTTTTTTTTTCAAATGTTTAACTATTTGTCCACTCTTGGTATAACTTGCTAATATTTTATTTGGAATTTCTGCAACCACACTTACAAGTTAGATTACTCTACAATTTTATTTTCTTTACAATTTCTATCAGGACTTCATATTAACATTGGCCTTCTAAGGTGAACTGGGTGGTTTTTCTTTCTTCAGTTTTTCTTCTTTCCTTTCTTCTTCCATTCTCTCTTTAATCCTATTTTAGTGGACAATTACACTTTTGTTCTTGGAGAGTTAATAAGAATCACTAGTAAAATGGTCTTAAGTCTAGCATTTTGGTTTGAGATGAGGCAAAAGGGAAAACTTCTGACCACTACTTCAAACTCTTTAATGATTACTGACTTATTCATTTCTATTTAATGGTCATTTGAACTTATTCATTTCTATTTGCATTAGTTCTGGTAATTTATATTCTTCCAGAACACCATCTCCGAGTTTGTGTATATTTTCAAATCTATTGGCAGCGATTATTTATAGCATTATTTATGACTTTTAAAATTTCTTGTGGTACCTGTACTTATGTCCTTATTTCATTCTTGATTTTGCTTATGTATTTTTCCCCCTTGGTCATATATCTTTTCAAATAATAAACCTCCGAAGTTCTTAAAAAATTTTCCCACTTGTTTATTACAAGTTCTCTTATTTTTGCTCTTTATTTCCTTCCTTCTACTTCCTTTGAATGTAGATATTCTTGACACTTTTCTATGCTATTGAATACTTAACTCATTTCAATATCTCATTTATTAAATTGATAATATTTAAACCTAAAAATTATTTTTCACATACCATGTTACATACATTCTACTTTTTAAAAAAAAAATATTCATGTCTCTACTTGTGCATTTACTCTTCCAGATGAACTATAAACCAATTAAGTCAAATTTCCATAACTTTTTAAGTTGGATAAATCTAGAGATAACTGACATTCTATAATATAAAAAATTGCCCACTCAGAAATGAGACTTTTCATTTATTCAAATATTTTTCATTAAAGTATTCTAATTTTATTTATATTGGTCTTACATATTTTTGGCTAATTTTGACATTTATTTTACATTAGGTTTTTTGGGTTATTTGCTTAGATTTTTTTTCTCAATTTCTTAATTACACCTGTGAATTATTTATTTCTATTTATGCCATGTATCTTTTTATCTTTGGAATGGTTAGGGCTTATAGAACAATGCTAAACAGCAAGCGACAAAAGCTATTCTGATTTTCATTCTAACATGAAGGCCTATCCTGATTCACTGCTGATTCTTGATAAAACGGCTTTGTTTATTTCCCCTATTCACCCCTCATTCGTCCATTCATAAAACATTATTAACTGCTGATCATGTGCAAAACATTATTCTTCTAGGTACTAGGGATATAGCAGCTGTCTATATAGCTTATATAGTAGTGTCTCTTCATTCACAGAACTGATATTATGGTTCCTGTTGAGGTTTCTAAGCTCCAGTATATGTTTCTAAGCTCCAGTATCTCTTCCAATACCAATAATTACCTCCAATTTTAAACACACACACTTGAATTTATGGCTTCTCTCAGCATCAATAATTAGCCAATATCTATAATGTTCCTGCCACTCCTTATTTCTTGCACCCCAATGTTGAAAAGACTCTCTGGTAATCTGGAATTATACTCCAAAACTATTCATTTCTTTCTTTTCAGTTAAAAAAATTTTTTTTCTTTTTCTTTTTTCTTTTTTGGTACTGGGGATTGAACTCAGGGCACTCGACCACTGAACCACATCTCATCCTTATTTTGTATTTTATTTAGAGAGAGGGTCTCACTGAGTTGCTTACCGCCTCACTGTTGCTGAGGCTGGCTTTGAACTCACTAGCCTCCTGCCTCAGCCTCCCTCAGCTGGGATTACAGGCATTTGCCACTGCAGCTGGCCAGTTAAAAATTCTTAACAGCCACGTTTATTTTGGTTTCAGTGAGATATATCTGCTCTAATTACTAAGTTTAACACTGAGAGTAGGAGTATTTTGTTGCCTCTGCAGTATTTCAGACAGGTAAACAGTATCACTATGTAAGTCACCGCTCAATTTCTTCTGTGAGCTTCCCTCCACCTGCATACATACCTTACCCCCCTCTGTATCAATGACGGGGTTTATTTTAGTAATGATAAATGGGAGCAATTTACAGACTTGCTTTTCTTCACTTTGTTTAGTTAATTTCAAGGAGAGAGTATCTAAATACCATTGCAAGTATCTTCAATACAGAAACAAAATTCCTATTAAGAAAATTTCACCAATTTGACAAATGTGCTTCAAATTCAGGTCTTCTTCAAATAATGCTTCTTAATAAAATTTAAATTATGTCTGACATTTTTTAGGAGTAATCACCACCACTTATAGTTTTAAAAACAATTTGCAATATTTAACATAGCAATAGTAGTTAAGCAATTTGAATTTCTTGGCTCTATTCAAGTTATTAAAAACGTAAAGTATGACCACATTTGATAAGATCATCAACATGAACATGTCATTAGAAATAAAAACAGAAAACTTTCCGATGACTTCCTATTGTACTTAGGGATAAAAATCTAAACTTACAAAGTCTATAAGGCTCCCTATGATTGAGTTTCTTCCTTCTTCAAACTCTTCTCAAACTCAACTACATAGGCCTTCAATTCGGTTCCTCAAACTTACTCATGATACAACTGCTCTAATTTCCATAATGCAGCCTCCTCCCTCTCATTGGAATCTCAGTTCAAGTGTTAATTCCTCCAAGCTCCAGATCACCACCCACCTCCACCCATCACTCTCAATTTCTTTTGTGAGCTTCCCTGTTTTATTTTATCACAATACCCTGTTTTATTTCTTCATAGACTGTAACAATATTTCTGTCTTATTTTCTCATTTATTACCTGTCTTCCTCACTGAAATATATACTTCTTAACTTCTTCTCTCTTTCAACACTAAACTCTTATATCTGCAAAAAGATATTTATTACCTAAGTTTTAGAAACACATAAGTTTATTTAGCAGGCTACAGTTGTGGCTCAGTGGTAGAGAGCTTGCCTAGCATGTGTGAGGCACTGGGTTAAATCCTCAGCACCATATTATAAATAAATAAAATAAAGGTAAAATGTCCATCTATAGCTAAAAGATGTTTTTAATTATAAAAAGTTTATTTAGCATTATCATACTGAAGATACACATCAGACTTTTCTGTTATTTCTAATATCAATAGCTGACATAAAAGGAAATAACCTATTATTTTATGTGTTTTATTTCTTTAGCTGTACAGAGAATTAATACTATTTTTTCCTCCTCAGGTATAAGACTCTAAAAACTCTAGGACTTAAGTGTTTTTCTTGCACAAAGGAAAAAGAATTTATAACTATTGAACAACTGCATAAGGTTCTAAAACACTCAAGAGTTTGTTTACAATTGTGGAACCTTGAAAAAGACCAGTAGGAAATAAAAACTCTTAAAAGTCTTTGAAATTGCAACAAAATACTAAGTTATAAAATCAATAACTTTTGTAAAGTTGAGATTCTAAACAATATTATTTAAACTATTGTCTTAACAAAGAAAATATTGCTTTATTTCCTGAGCAGAATATATAATAGATTAGCTAAAAGAAAAACAGTGTTTAAGAAAAAATAGGAAAATTAAATGATAAATGATAGATCCAAATGAGAATTACATGATTCACTTTCATTCTCTTTTATGAATTTGTTTTAAGAAGATGAAAACTCTTTTTAGCATGAAATGTACATTTTCACTATGCTATACCATATGTAAATAAGTAAACATACCTGTTCTGATTTAAGTACATAAAGTTCCTGATGGAGTTTATCATTTTCACTTGATTGATCTGTTCCAGGTGAGGATTCGTTTGTTACTGATGGTGAAAATAACTGTTCTTGCTTGCTTTCTCTTCTAATAGCCACATTTTCAAAAGAAATTTTCTCTTCCACTACTGTTTTTGATTCTTCTCCAAAATCTTCACCTACATTAGATAATGATCCTTGAGAATCCCTGCTTATAATAGTTACTATTCCATCTTGTAAAGAGCTTAAATGAACATCACACATGTTTATATTTTCTGCTCTATGATGGTTAATTAGGAGTTCTAGCTCTTGACATCTCAATAGAATTTTCTCTTTTTCTTGCTTTAAAGATTTGACTTCTTCACTGAGAAAATTAACCTCACCATGTTTTTGTTTTAATTGTTCAGAGAGATCAGACAGTTTCTCTGACAATTCTAGCTTTTCTCGCTTGGTTACCTCAAGTTTTTCCATAAGTTCTGTTGTATCTTTCTCAACAACTTCACAGATTTCTAATGGCTCTGCGACAAAAGCTTTGTCAGTATCAAGCATGGCACTTTTCACTTTGATTGTAGCTGGATTTATTCTTTGTAAATGAAGCTCTTCATTAAGTGCTTTAAGTTTACTTTTATACTCTAATTCTTGTTTGTTTTTACTGTCTTCTAAATCATCTTTTACCTTGAGAAGGCAAGTATACTCCTCCTGTAACTCTTGATAGTTAACTTCAAAATTTTTTTCAGCAAATGAAAATGTACTTCTTTGCTTTTCAATTTCTTCATTTAGCTGAATACACTGTTGCTTGAGGGCCTCATTCTCTTTTGTAAGCATTTCCATTTCTTTTTGCCAGCTACAATCTTTGGATATGGACTTGCTGGAGTCAATGAAAATCATTTTTTCTTCTTGTTCAGCAGGAACATAAATTTTCAACATGTCCTCAATAGCTTTTTTCTCATTTTTAAGAATGTTATTTTCTGCTTCAAGTTGTGAAAACTTTTCTTTAAGGTCATCCTCTTTTTCCTTTATTTCTTTCTCCAATAATTCAATTTTAAGTTGTAATTCCTGAACTTCTTGTTCAAGCGTACCTTTTTCTTTTTTTTCTTGTCTTAATATTTCAATTTCCTCTTGGAGTTCATGCATCTGAAGGGTCATTTCTTCTGATTTTGAATCCATGATGGACTTCTGTAAATCTTTTAGTTTTGAAATTTCCAAAACCAACTGATTCTGCTTAGTTATCAAATTGTCTTTTTCAAATTGCATTGTTTCTATCTTTTGACTCATTTCATTTTGTAAGCCATATATCTGCTGTTTATAGTGAATGCCTAAGCTATCTTTAAGTTTTTCAATATTTATTCGATGTTCAACTTCTAAATCTTCTTTTAGTTTCGAAAGTTCTTCTTCATGACTAAATAGAAGCTGTGTTCTCAGCCTCTCTAATTCAGCTTCTTGTGATTCAGCCATTCTGTCTAATACAGCATTTTTTTCTTTTTCCAACATTTCAAGTTTTATCTTGTAATTTGTAACTTCTGCTTCATGTTTTAACTCTAGTTCTTTCCTAGATTCAGATGCCAGAACAATCTCAGCTTTTAAAGCTTCCACTGTACTAAGGGACTTATGTGCTTCATTCAGTTGACTTTCTTGTTCAGCTATTATCATTCTAGCTCTCTGAATTTGGTCCCTTAAAAAGTTCAATTCTTCAAAAAGGTCATCAAGTCGTCTCTGCAGAGTAGATTTTTCTCCTGAAACTATTCCTAGTTCTTCTTGGAGTTTTTCCTTTTGAGCGTTAGTATCTTGTAATTTCATATTCAGTTCATTTATTGCCACGTTCATTAACTTTATTTGATCTTCATTAATTGTAATATTTAAATGTGATTTTAAAACACTCTCAATTTCCTCCTTATGTTGTGCTTTAAGTTCCTCTATCTGTGACATGTGTTGCTTTATTAACTCTTGTTTCATCTGTACTATCTGTTGCCCATACATTTCATCCATCTCTGCTTGGAGTTGTTCTAATCTTTTCTGCATTTCTTGTTCCACCATTCTCTGTACATCAGATTCAAACTGGCTATCTGTGTAATGATGTCTTTTCTGAAGGTCTTCAACTGTACCCATAAACTGTTTTATTTCTTCAGAACATTGTTTTTCTTTTTGCTTAGAATTAGCCAGCTCTAATTTCATACTTGCAATTTGTTCTTGTAATTCTCTCATTAATTTTTCAGTGGCTGTGACTTGATCTTTTAGCTCAAGATTCTTTTTTTCTTCTTCTATTATTCTTATATTTAACGCCTGGATGATTGTCTCCTTTTCCTGTAATTCTTTTTTATTTGACTTTTCTACTTCATCTTGTTCCTTTAAAAAGAAAAGAAAATGAAAAATATAAGAATGACATTTTTAGCTTCTGGCAACTTCTTATGGGTGTCTCCTTTTTATATAATTCTATAAAAAGCAACTGTTGGGCCTGCCCCCCGTTTTTCCCAGTACAAGGAGACTAGGACTTATCTACCTGACAGTACATATGAGCAAACAATATAACAGTTTTACCCTTCTTGGAAAGAAATTTCTCTTACATTGTGCTGTGATTAAATATTTAAATTTAAAAATGCAATCTAATTTGCCTAGCATGTGTGAGGCCTTGGGTTTGATCTCTAGCACCACCAAAAAAGCAAAACAAAACAAAAACCAGTCTGACTAAAATATCTATATAAACTATCACATTTTCATTTTTCTTATTAACTGGTCAACATTCTAAATATTAAGCATTTCTGATGGCTAGTTATAATACTACATACTCTCTAGACACTCTCAGAAGACACAAAAATATAAAAACCGGTCCTCCCCTGGATTCTCAGAAGAAACAAAAAAAATAAATACCAGTCCTCCCCTGGATTCTAGTGATTTGAAGGTATTTCATGGACAAGTGCTATAAAATGAGAAAAACAACAAGAACTAAAGTGGATTCCTTTAAGTCTTCCTTAACTTCATTCCTGGGGTTTTAAGTGAATCAGAAATTTAGGGATATGCAATGCTTAAGTGACTGAACATCAAGTGACACCTAAGACCACTACTGTATATTTACGGCATACCAACTTGGGCTTAGACCCACAGTTCAAACAGAAATATAAAAGACCATCAGATAATTTTCCCCAGTTCCTATCTGGAGACTCAATTTTGGAACTGGAGATTAGGCTAAGACAAGACATATTAACGCATATTCATTAAACAGTTAAGAGCTGTTGTCCCAAAGCCAAGGAAATAAGTGAAATCCATATAACTGATGAAAATATAGGTAAGGAAGTAAAGTTATCTTAAGGAGACACGAGTCCTTGCCAAACAGGACTTCTAGGCGCCTTGAATGAATGTACTAAGAAAATGTAGGCATTGATCAATTGAGTATAGTTCTTGGAAGAAGACCAACGCACCGTCAACCTTTGAGAAGTCTGATCCCTCTCGAAAAACCATACTTCATGCAGAAAACAATGTTGGGAGTTACAGCGAGGAGCATTTAAGAAGTTTAGTCTACAGACATGAACATTACTACTCTGAGATGGATGTAACAGGTTATCTCAACCTCATGCCACTGAACATCTGATTCCTCCAACACCCTTTTCATCTAATACTTAATAAACAATTTTTTAAATTATTACCTGGCTTTTAAAATTCATCTGTCCATAGAAAGAAAATAAAATCCAATGAGCTTAAAATCTGAAATTTGTGATAATTATTTCTTATTGTAAATTCACAGTCTTATATTTAGACTTAAACATTAACCTCTTGAACTAATTCACCTCTGATATAGCTCAAGAAAAAAAATATGACTTCTGAGCCCAACAAATAAAGGCCAAATTTTGCACTACATAAACCAAGGTTATCTTGTGCAGCCTCTTGAGTGAGACTATGAGCTGTTGTCTTAGTGTCACATATTCCTTTTCCAATTACATCATATGTTATTACCAAGTGCTGAGCCTTCTTAATTTCTACACTAGAATGCAACAATAGTAAATTAGTTTAATCTGTTAATCCTGTTATTTCTGTCTGTACAATAAAGATAAATTTTCTCTATCTCCCAGAACGTGTTTGAGGCTAAAATAAAATAATTAAGGTATTTTATTTTTACTGAGATTTATACAAATATATTCATATACTAGAAAGAAATTTATAAATCATTTGGAACCTATATAAAATGTAAAATCAGGACTGGGGCTGGGTCTCAGAGGGAGAGTGTTTGCCTCACGAGACGAATGAGGCACTGGGTTCAATTCTCAGCACCACATAAAAATAAATGAATCCATAAAGATATCGTGTCCATCTACAACTAAAAAAATTTTTAAAAAAGTAAAATCAGTTCATGATGGTCAATTTTAGCTAAACTGTTAAATAACAACTAGTTTTGAAAAATGTTAACATTGATATAAAAATCTGTTATAATTTTATTTCCTGATTTTCTATAAGATGAAAGGAACACTCCTCATAAAAGAAAATAACTTAATTCAACACTGTCCAACACCTAATATGATTAATAAATAACTAACCATAATTCTTCATTCAACTATTAAACACCACAAATTCACAGTTTTCTTTGTTTAGCTTTTTTCAAATTACATGGTTTTAAATCACTTGTCCTATGTTACAAAACTGACAGCCCTTCAGACAAGGATGTAATCCTCTATTTTTAGAACTACACCTGAAAGAGTGGGGAATAATATACTTCCTGTTTGTGACTACTATAACACAGGACGTTTGGAGGATTAGGATAATGAGCCTTTGACTATCAGTCTGACAGAACTACTTCTCAAAGGGATTAAATTTTTTAAAAACTGAGAAATTAAAATATAATAATAAGAACAATAAAAGTATTATTGCTAACATTCAAATAAACAGTTTATTTTCATTACAAAAATGAATTACATAAATTTTAGATAATCTGAAATTATACTGCCTAGTGACAATAAGAAATAATAAAATCCTAGATCCGGGCACTTTCAACCTAGGCCTCGATTGTCTTTCTACTCTTACTCTCCAGAAAGACACTTCCAAAGCCTATTGCTTTCTAAGTAAATTATTTTTGGCTCCCTATACATTTTCAACATTTCAGCCTGGGTCTTTATGCCCACTCCACACCCCACAAAGAATATCCTGCCTATCTCTATTTGTCATGAATTCATAAACAATTCTCTTGATTACCAAATAGGTATTGAATAGCTGAGCTGTTCCATATATTATGTTCCATATATTATACCAATTTATGGGTAAACAAAATATAAATAACACATTATTCCAATTTATAGATCTAACTCAAATATTACCTCTCTGCTGATGTCTACCCTGAATCTTTTCCTCATAAAGCAGACCTCGTCAAAACATTCATAACACTTGTTACCTGCACTTACTTTTTATTTTGTGGTAACTTGTGTACATGCCACACCTCTCCATGGGTTCAGTGAAGAAAGGGCACATCTTAAGGTTCATCATATATCTTTTGCAAGGGTTACTACAGAATAGGTATTCTGTAAACACTTGCATAATCTTTAAATTACCTTAGTTGAAAAGCATGCCCTTCTCATAATTTTAATTTGTACATTTCCTATTTTTCAAAGAGGAGTCTCTGGAGTCAGATAACTGAGCTTTGAAATCTGGCTCTATCAATACATCACTTCTGCACCTGGATTATTTCCTTCATCTTGAGTTGTCTTGGTACCATCATTTGTAAAATGTAAATAATAAAGGTACCCTTATCTCATAGGTTGTAGTGATGATTCAATGCATTAATATGTGTAAGAGGCTTTGAATATTGCCTGTTATAGAGTAAGTATTTAATAAGTGCTAGTTAACGCTTTTGTTATCCAAACAATACTCTTGTCTTGGTAATTTCTCAACTTCCTGTAGAATCTTCTAAGTTTATAAAATATGCTGTATTATATGTATTCTCCATCTTCATTATTCACAAATTCTGTATTTGCTTACTTGCTCAAATTTATTTGAAACCCACAAATCCATACCAATGGTGCTTTCATAGACATTTGTAGACACACACAGAGTGATGGCAAGAAATTTGAGTTACTGTAAAATGATGTTCAGCTACATTCAAACATGGTGATCACACTGCCTTGTTTCAGCTCTCATAGAGCAAAAAAGAGGACAGAGATGGCAAGGATCAGAGTGCAGTGTAGTGCAAGGAGCTCAGAATTTCAACTCTGGCACCTGTTAATGGGGCAGCTTCAGGCAAATCACATCTAAACTTCAACTTCTCAAAAAAACAAACAAACAAAAAAATGGAATCTACTAGCATGAATTGTTTTTAAGATTAAAGATTACAATCCATGTGATACATTTCCTACCAGGAGCACTTATTGACTAAATAATTCCCCCAAACTGGAATATAACTCAAGTGAATAAAAAGAATCAACCACATTTTTTTCTAGTTTAAATTTACAAAATTTCTTTTTCAGAATTTTATAATCATAGCTAAAATAAGAAGAAATACATTTAGTTGGGGGAAAAAGGATAGAAATCCTAGTTATAAAAATAGATTCTCCTGAGACTTCAGTTTAACATAGGCAGATCACTTTTAAGGACTATTGCCCTTCTCGGACTATTCCCTGAAGACCTTAAAAGAGCATACTACAGGGATACTGCCACATCTATGTTCGTAGCAGCACAATTCACAATAGCTAGACTGTGGAACCAACCCAGATGCCCTTCAATAGATGAATGGATAAAAAAAATGTGGCATTTATACACAATGGAGTATTACACAGCACTAAAAAATGACAAAATCATGGAATTTGCAGGGAAATGGATGGCACTAGAGCAAATTATGCTAAGTGAAGCTAGCCAATCCCTAAAAAACAAATGCCAAATGTCTTCTTTGATATAATGAGAGCAACTAAGAACAGAGTAGGGAGGAAGAGCAGGAAGAAAAGATTAACATTAAACAGAGACATGAGGTGGGAGGGAAAGGTAGAGAGAAGGGAAATTGCATGGAAATTGAAGGAGACCCTCATTGTTATACAAAATTACATATAAGAGGTTATGAGGGGAATGGGAGAAAAAAAAACAAGGAGAGAAATGAATTACAGTAGATGGGGTAGAGAGAGAAGATGGGAGGGGAGGGGAGGGGAGGGGAGGGGAGGGGGGATAGTGGAGGATAGGAAAGGTAGTAGAATACAACAGTTACTAATATGGCATTATGTAAAAATGTGGATGTGTGACTGATGTGATTCTGCAATCTGTATTTGGGGTAAAAATGGGAGTTCATAACCCACTTGAATCTAATGTATAAAATATGATATGTCAAGAGTTTTGTAATGTTTCGAACAACCGATTAAAAAAAAGGAGCAGAGTAATGAGTAGTATCATTAAAACTATTACTACGAAATTCTCAATGCTTTTGAAATATATTATTTTATATACTCAAAGAGTTTGTCTCAATAATGAAATTTTGTGGTGCATATGCATAAAAAAAGATAAACACTCCATTAAAAACTTTAAAGTTAATTACAAAGCTGCTACAAGTAGGTTGACTTCCTTAAGATACACATACCATTTCATATACTTTAATTTTCTCCTGTAAGAAATTAATTTGCATTTTGAAGTCTTCTTTCTTTTTTTGATAATCTTCTAATAGATGGTCTTGTTCTTCAAGCTGTTGTTGATGAGTGAGAATCTGTTGTTTGGCTTGCAGTAAATCTGCAGCTGTGTTACTGTGAGTGCTGTTTCGTAGAGTTTCACTAGCCTGTAACTTGAAAATAGAAAGAAACCTCAAAATATTAAATTTTGAAGTGACACTTTATCATACCCTCAGCCCACAGGGGTTCTCTGGAAACTATGCTCACTTCATAGGCTTACGATCTCAGTCAACATGTTTCCATGCTGTCAACATGCTGATAGGTCATGTGCACTTTGGGTAATGAGCCAAAGAATTTACCTTTCACATTATAAAGCTGAGAAAATAGGAGAAATAAGACAGGCAGACAGGCAGAGAAAAATGCGGACTGAAAGTTCTTCCTGGATTCCTGATGACTTTTCAAACTCTAGTTCCAATTTCTCTTAGAGTTCTGATTGTATTTCTGCCCTTAAGTTCTATAAACAAGCCTGTATTCTTACCTTAAATTCCTCCCTTTTGTTTAATGCAATTAGATTATAGTTCCAACTAAAGATAAATGGAATATATCCAGTTGTCAGTCTAGTTATAATTGAGAACCTAATTAACATAAAACCATACCAGGGTTGGAAAAAGTAGGGTGTAACTGCAGGTTAATTTCTGCAAAAATACACCTGATAAGACTTTGTAGAATTTTTAAATAGAGACAGGGAAGAAGTACAAAGAAAACAACAGCAAGAAACTACCCAAGAAGTATAAATTACATTCTTGATTAACATAACACTTATTCACTAGTTTTTCCAGCACGAATAAACAAATGGCTTTATAACAGATTTGTTCTAGAAAGTGAAAAAATTAAAAAATTCATTATAAAAATTGAGTAAGTCTTGTTCTACTTGTAATACTTACTTGTTGGAATTGAATCTGCAATTTTTGACTTTGCTCCGTTAACTCTAAAAATTCTCTCACCGTTTCATCCCTTTCCCTTCTTGCCTGTTGTAAATTGGCGGTGAGCTGTGTGATAATACCATCTCTTTGTTTAACTGCTGCTTCAAATTCTTGTAACTAAAGGAAATCAGTGAAAAGAATTACATTCTAGGCTTATATTTTACATAAAACTGATTATCATTATTACAAGCAACTTTTTAAAAAATATGAGATTCAAAACACATTAGTGGAATTCTTACAATTTGTATGATATCTCCCACATTTGAAAGCTATGAGCTTTAAGAAATTTGTTTTATTTCCAAATCAATCTGAAAGAAATTAATGTGCACATGCAAAAAATTTTCACTTGTTCTGGCTTTTCTATATATCTAATTCTAGAAGCAAATGCCTTTATATTGGGGAGCTCCCCCAATCTGTTACCAGGCAACACCACCAACTTGTTTTTGGAGAGGATGAAACTGAAATCTATTCTGTCATCCTCATTAATGTCCTATTTTCATCTTGAGTTCACAACTGATTACTTAATACAAGAGATGTCACTCTAACTGCAGAGAATATTTACAGGGACTTGCTGACATTCTTAATGGGTTTAAGTCATCATTTTTTTAAAAATGTGATTTATACCACAATTTTCTTTCAGGCTCATTAGAAAAACATCTGTCCTGAAATCACTAAAGTTATTCTACTCTATCTTATTAAGTTAAATAAACAAAGTAACATACATGTTACCCCTATTAGTTGAATTCTAGGTGTAAAATGGGATTCTTAATACTATGTGCAAGAACCCCATTTTTCTCGTGAATGAGATAATCTTAAGTTAACACCTGTAATTCTCATTAAATACAAAAACTATTATTAAAATTTCCTGGAGGGCTGGGGATGTGGCTCAAGTGGTAGTGCATTCGCCTAGCATGCGTGAGGCACTGGGTTCGATTCTCAGCACCACATAAATGTAAAATAAAGATATTGTGTCTACCTAAAAAAAATGAAAAAATAAATATTTAAAAAAAAATTCCTGTTTTTGTTTTTGTGAGTAGCAAACAAAAGCCACAGAAGGTAAATGTACCTGATGCAATCCTTCAGTCCCATAAGTGGCCCTCATTTCTTCCAGTTCTCTGTTCAGTTCTTCGGGCTCATGTTCAGGTTTCCCAACTAATTCGTTTTCTATCAACTCTAGGCGAGTCTCACTATAGTGTGCGCCTTGTTCAGAATAAGAATCAACGACACCAAATTCTTCTTCCTAAATCAATCCAATATTTTTAATAATTCAGTACTAGCAACATTCCTGAGAGAGGAATTCGAATACTGAATTCCATAGCAAAATCCACTTTAAAACATCACTCTTCACTTTGAAGTTCACTTCTATGGCAATCTGGTTTGCTATTAATGTGATATTACCTTAAAAGCACCTAAACAGCATATCTGCAAATTTTCTTCCAATTCCATGTTATAATGAAAATGAGGTAACTTTGTTTTGTTAAGCAGTAAAGAAGATCTAATAACTTTTAGAAATCACATACAGAAAGAATTACATACAGAAGAAAGCTTGGTTAGTAAGTCAAATGGTTTTAAATAATAAAAAACATTAGTATCATGAGTAGTTTTATATACTGTACCATTAATAAATTGGTAGGCTTTCTTGTTTTCACCACATTACAGCAATCATTTACCTGTATAAAAACAATTTCCTGATATATTATGATAGACCAAATTTTATTTACCTAACAATAATATTTCTACTAACTGTGTATCTTTTGCATCTAGGGAAAATGCCTTAATAGCAAAACAAATATGGTGATTATATTTAACTGAAATATCTAAGAGGCATATCAAATGTCAATCATTCCTCAAACATCTAAGTTCTTACACTGCAAAAGACACTTTCATTTAAGTAACTGAAGTTCTAAGTGCAGTTCCTATTTAGTCTTCAGAAAGATAACTAAAAGCTTCAAGTTACTAGATCTTCTTTTACAAAATGCTTCCTTAAAATTAGCTAAATATATTTTTAAAATTAAGCCCTATTTATTTTCAAATAAAACCATTTACTGGTAATAAATTTTATTAAAGGCTAGTAAGCAAGCCAAGGGAAATAAAGAGGTAAAGAACACTCCCCTAAGAACTTTCCTCTGGGGATAGTACTACTGCAAGTCATGCCAATCCAGACAGATGTGGGGGCTTTCTTTAACATATCACCACTTGTCTGTAGCACAGATATTTTGTAGTAAGAGAAAGGAGGATGATAGACTATGTATATAGGGTTTATGGAGTGGGAAATTAATTTCTTATCAATTAATCATTTAATTGCCTTTTTACCACTAAGAGTACAAAAACCAACTTCATTCCTGCCCACATTCCTGCCCATATCTTAAGCCTTCACAATTCTATGTTAATAGAACCCAGGAGAATGAAATTGTTAACATTGAAATATGTAGGACAGACTAGTCAGAATGTCTAGAGTTAGGGTTAAGTCTGTATGAGCCATGACACATTAAAAAGTAAAAATCCTAGGACTGAAGATGTAGCCCAGTTGTAGAGCATCTGCCTAGCATGTGCAAGGCCCAATACCCACAACTGCCAAATAAAAGGGGGAGAGGGTCCTAACTAAGAGACTTTTTAAAAATCAGTTTGATTGCTCTACTTTTATTCTAAGAATAATCTCTGAGAAATAAAGCTAAAGGGAAGGCAAAAAAACAGCTTTTGTTAACACATTATTGTAATTGGTGAAAAACCACAAGAATGTAGGAATACTAATTCTAGATATAAAGTCACTTGTGATAATTTTCAAATTATAATACTTCTAAATTTCAATTAGTTTTTCATGACTCAGAAATGACACATTCTGATTTTAGTACACACTAAAATTTCTATTTTGAAGTAACAGTGTAATAAAATGAATATGTGTAAATATCATCAAAGATCATGTCAAATATCATGTTATCGGTATTACATAAATTATTTATCCAGTATAATAGTTATATCTAATACCTCTATAGCAAATATTCAGTTAGTTCTCCTTTAATTCAGTTTAAACATATTTATAATGCCCCACAATGAGTTGGTTAGGATCTATCTCCAAGTACTTTCTGGCCATCATGTTGCCCATTGTACAGTTGTCTTGAAGTGCCTGGACTGTTATGATCTGCTGAGTTCGCTGTTCAGCCCTGAGTGCTAGTCACAATGCAGCAGGTTGAAGACAGCCTACTGGAGGATTGTCACAACCTTCATAACTAATATTCTCAACTTCTTATCTAAGATTTCTTTCATAAGTTTGCAGAAGAGTTCTCAAACTTCACCTCACTCTCCATTTTATTCTTCTCATCCTCATCTTTAGTTAGTTGCAGGCCTTCCCACCAAATTCCCCAAGCTACAGCATGCAATACTCATCAATACACAACCTGAAAGCCCTGTTTCTCCACTCCACGAAAGCAGAGTTGCTATCTGATCTTTTCTCTCATCATGATGAGACCTGAGTCTTCTTCAGGCAACAGACATTTTTGACAGAAAAGTGATCTCACCTCCAGACTGGGAGGTATGATAGTCAAGCAGCTCAGAAAGGCATCAGTAGTTATTGGGAGTCCTCAGAGCTTCCAGGTTTTAGAGAGTTTAAGAGAATGCCTCTGACATTTTTTTTCCCTGTAGTTTTCTTTATTTTGTGCCAGCTCAGAAAAAAGCTCAAGGCAAATTTTAACAATCTTTGTAAATGACTTTCAAGATTTTGCTCTGCTGGAGCATTTTCTTGGGAGATGTTCAGAGGCAGGTCCTCAGAGTCAACCACACCATGGATAACGTTGAGATAATTCTGGTTTGCAAGTACAAGGCTAGCCTGAGCAACTTAGAAAGTCAGTTTCAAATAAAAACAGCTGGGAATGTAGCTCAGTGGGAGAGCGCCCCTGGGTTTAATCCCCAGTAACATACACACACCCACATCCAAACAACAAAAATAAAAACTGTAATATGTTAATTTAAGAACATAGTTTTTTGAGCTGGGATTGTGGCTCAGCAGTAGAGTGCTCGCCTAGCATGGGCAGGACCTGGGTTCGATTCTCAGCACCACATTAAAAAATAAAATAAAATAAAGGCATCATGTTGTGTCCATCTACAAAAAAGATTCATATTCATTCTCTCTCTCTCTCTCTCTTAAAAAAAAAGGACATAGTTTTTCTATTAGAAGTCTACAATAAATTCAGACTTATGAAATATACTAAGTTGCTTAAACATTTAGAGTAAAGAATAATTTTCCATGTACTCTAAATTTAGGAGCAAAGAAATGACAATCATATCTAAAAAGAATAAGATAACAAAGTGATACTTATTGCAAACATATAAAGAAGGCAGGTATTTCTTAAGAGACCAATGCCTATTTTATAGTTTATCACCTAAAATAAAAATCATCATTGTCAGGCATGGTGATGCACACCGTTAATCCCTTCTCAGGAAGCTGAGACAGGAGGATCACAAGTTCAAAGATAGCCTGGACAACTTAGTGAGAATCTATCTTAAAATAAAACTGAAAAAGGGCTGGGAATGTAGCTTGGTGACAAAGTGCTTTCCTAGTATGTACAAGGCCCTGAGTTCAATGCCCAGTAACACACACGTACACACATGCACACACACATACGCACAACACTACAGCAACATTAATTCCAATAAACATTTATATATACACACACACACACACACAACACACACACACACACACACTAGTATTCAAACATTTGTAAAAAGCATTACTATAAAAATCATACTAATTATAAAATTTTTACTGTGCTAAATGGCTATCTTAAAATGGTCATGGATCCTAGAAATGCAGACTCAACTTTCCTAAAAACCAAAATAGGGCTGCTATATAATTAAGGATTAAGCAATTCAAACAGTTAAGACTTTAGCTAATGACTGGAAAAAAGATACAGCAGTAAAATATAATTTTCAGTTTTTCAATCCATTTATATTACATTATGTTAACTTAAATTATATTAAATATATATAGAAACATATAAATTTATAAGAAATAAAGTACCAACAATCAATAATTTCAAAAAAATATCAATTTTATCTATGACATTTTTAATTGGGATATGTTAGTCTTACCTCCGAAGTGTAATCATCTGCTGTGGTTGAAATCTCACTTTCCGGCTAAAACAAAAGTAAAACATGATTACAATTATGACATTTTTCCCCTGCTAAATATCATACTTTACAAAAAAAAAAAAATCCTGCTTTACTAAGACGTTGCTGTTAGTAACAATGATAGAAAATTCACAAAAATACTATTAAAAAAACTAGTAAAAATTATCCAAATCTTTAAAAATTTCATTTCATTATGAATTACAATGACTTATAATAATGCATATAAAATTTATCACAAGGCATTGTTATAAATACAAAAGTACCAAGAACTTTTACATATATAGTAGATGTCATCTGTAAGCCAAAAGCATCAAAGACACCATTCCTCTAATTCATGTAACTCTTTTAAATAAAACTAAATCCTTAACATGCCATCAGAAAAGTCCAAGTTCTTTAAAAGAATCATCAGTTCTTGATTTTAAAAAGTCAATGACTTTGTCAAGCTTCCATCAGGTGGATGCTAATGACTTTTCACTGCCACTACTTTCTAGTTAGAGGTAGAATGTTTTAAAATCTGGATGAATACTTACATCAACAGAAAAGACCTGCTCATGCTTAAGCATTTCTTCATTGTTTAGAGTTCTCATTATTGTGGATTCAGGCATCACGGCTGATCCAACACCCTGAGAACTATTTATGAACATCTCCTCACTCTTTGATTGATCAATATTCAAGCCATGAACATCATTTTTACTGCTTGAGGTTTTCTTCTTTTTTGGCTTCTTATGAGGGTTTTGTCCATCCAATCGAGCTCTTCTTTGTCGAAACTGGGCAAGCTACAGGAAAAAAGTATCATTAACATCAATGATAATTTTTCTTTGGGATCACTTTCTTTAAAAGATCAAACTATCACCAAGTTAAAATGATGATAATAATATAGATGACTTCACAGTTTCAGAATAACTATTGGATTGAATATTTGGGTTGTAAAGGTTGTAAAACTAGGTACTTGTGAATGAACTTATTAAATATTGAGGGGTAAGAAATGAACATGTCAAGTCTAAAGAAGAGGAAATTAGCTGAGTTAGGGGAATAACTATTCTATAACTAGAATAGGGGAATAGAGGGACTCTCATTCACAGTATAATCTCTGGATTTAAGATTATATGAAAATACACACAAAAACAAGGAGCTCCAAACACACTTGTTCTGTTCTACTACTTTATACAAAAGATATCGTCTATAATTATCTTTTATACAAAAAAGATAATTAGCCTATTAGCTATACAAATGCTCACTGCAGCCATATTTATAGTTGGAAAAACTTACAAGTAACTTAAAATTTTAAACAGCAGTGTTTTCTACCATTTATCATTTGTCTGTCATCATCAGAATTTGTACCAAACTCTAGTCATCGATACATTATCATTTACTTAATATATTTTAAACAGTGTATTTTCTTTAAATTTATTTTAAAAGGAGATGGAATCTCTGGCATAAATTGAAAGTTAATATCACTTGTTATTTCTTTTAAGAGATAAGTTGAAAATAAAAGAAATGATAAATCTATTATTGAAATTTTAGTTAGAGGTTGCTGAAGGCTATGAAAAAAAATGGACAAAATAAAAGACTGTTAAAGACAGACAAGCATCAAACAGATTTTCGTTATCATAAGCAGAAAGAAAACTGAAAAAGGTAAAAACTTTCTTACTATACTATACAAAGTTTTTTAAGACCTAAAATATTTTCTTACCACCTAAAATCAGAAGTACATATTATATACCAGGTAACACTAGACTAATTATGGTGAACTTATATTAAAAATACCAATGCAAGCAATTGCTATTAAAGACTTTGTGATATAATAGCAGGTATAAAGTAGTATTGTAGCATATCTATTTCTTTTCATGAAAGGAAAATTACACTTCATTTTTAAAAAGAAAAGGCAAGTCTCAGGCTCATAGCTTTCAATGATTATATCCAGTATGAATTTAAACATCATTATATTCATAGGCATAGGTAAATTCTGGAAAACTACAACCTTAACAACTTTTGTTGACATTTGGAGTTCACATTTCAGGTATTTTTCCTATTGCTCACTTACATTTTATTTATTTATTCTTAAGAATTTTTTTTTTGATGGACACAATACCTTTATTTTATTTATTTTTATGTAGTACTGAGGATCAAACCCACAGCCTTGTACGTGCTAGGCAAAGGATCTATTGCTGAGCTATTACTGTATTTTTTAAAATACAGTAAGTTTTCTGATTTTTATATAAAGCAACTACTGACAAAGACTTCTTAAATTTAATTTGAGCTCCCGAATCACTCTTAAGAGGAGAAAAAAGAAGACCACATGTTAAGTTCCTTTCTGCCTTAAAAAGAGGAAATATCTGCCTAGAATTACCATAACTATTAACCAGACCAATTACAAAGACAGCAAATAAGTTTCTTATTATCTAAAGTATTAAAGCAATCTTGCTAATGTTACTATCAAAATATGCGGCAAATACATTATTTATAAATAACATTTTATACTTAAATTATCTGCTATAGATGAAGAAAATCATATAAACATGTCCTATTCCCTTAATAAAGATATTTAATTCATAAGTCAGAATAGCTCATGATTATACTTACAGAGTATAAAAATATATCACATTTAACATTTTCCCCAGTTATTTAGTAACTACACAGTGTGTTGAGGAACAGGTGCAAGACCAGTTGCCTCTATTTGCACACTATTAAGCTGCTGGAATGTACTTGAACTACTTGGAGCATAGCAGATCATTCTTAAAAATAAACTAACTAGAATATTGGCAAATACTTTATCTATAAATAGAATCAGAAATCCAGGAGCATTATTTAAAAACATCCCTTAGAGAGAATGCAATGCCAAAAAATAAATACTAATAATGACATTTATAATATTTATACTCAGAAACTTATTGAAATATCATGTTTCTGCATTAGAATATATTTAGTCAGCAAAATTTATCAAGGCAAAGATGAAGATTTTGCTTAAAATTCCAAGTGTTAGATTATATCAATAATTTATATCTAATATTTATTCAAATGTCAAATATATAACAAAGGAAAAAATTATTAACTTTGCATTATAGAAAGAATGACTTAGGTCTGGGGATGTGGCTCAGTGGTAGAGTGCTTGCCTAGGATGCACAAAGGGCCCAGGTTCAACCATCAGCACAAAATGAAAGATAAATAAATAAAGAATGGAAAGTTTGATTTAAACAACAACAACAATAACAAAATAACAAAAAAAAAACCTCCAAAATAAGAATATCTGTTACTAAATGCAAAAAGTAGCACACTGATATGGAATAAAAAGTAGAAATAGTTCCATTATAGTATTTAGAATGAATCACTTCTACAGAATAATTAAAAAGATACTGTTCTAGGCCTATATTACTCATTATATGAGTCATATTATTTTTTCAGAAAAATTAACCAGAAGGTAAACCCCATGAGGGCAAGGACTTTTTTTCCTCCCTACTTCTATATATTAAAAGCCTAGAGCAATATTAAATAAATAGTTTAATTTTTAATCTATTTTTTTGAGAGAGAGAATTTTAATATTTATTTATTTATTTTTAAAATTTTAATATTTATTTTTTAGTTTTTGGCGGACACAACATCTTTGTTTGTATGTGGTGCTGAGGATCGAACCCGGGCCGCAGGCATGCCAGGCAAGCACGCTACCGCTTGAGCCACATCCCCAGCCCCTATGCCAAATTTTTTAAAAGGATAATTTATCTTTTATTGAAAAGTCACCACACTAAGCAAGATCATATAAAAGGCATATCTAATTCTACTTTATTAAAATGTTCCATGGTTTCAAAATTAAAATGAACAATTTTCAAATTACTTGAATCACTCTTAAGAGGTGAAAGATAAAAGAATGAGACTAAGTAAATTTCTTTGTTCCTTAAAAAGAGGAAATATATGATTGGAATTACTGTAACTATTAAATAGACCAACTACAAAAATGGCTAATAAATGAATAAGAACATAAAAAGAATCCTTCTCACTATAACCTCCCTCCTCCACCAAGAAAACTAAAACAAAACAAAAAGTTTCTCATAAAAATAATATCCACAATAGCTTTCTGGCAAGACTACTGTTTTATAAAAATTTGAAAGGAATAATATCGTATCATGTATTCAATTATTTACAGCTATTTAGTTTTATTTTAAATTTGAAAAATGGCAAGCTAGCAGATGAACAAAAAAATCTGAATCAATTAGATAACCATCTGATACTGAAATGATGCACTTTAAATTACTGAGAAAACATTTATTCTAAAACATGCTGAAAATTCAGACTACAGCCATCTGTGTTTGTCATTTGGAAGCCAATTATAAAAGTGTTAACATATGTAGTCACAGAAATAGTTGCAAGATTTACTGGAAAGATATTATGTTCACATATTTATCTTTCAAAAGTAGACCAGATCACAAGTAAATGTCTTATCTTGACCAGAACATGAATAAACAACTGAATATAAATATATTGAGTTCCTTAAACTCAATATTTATAATTTTATAAATGATCATTCTCAATAAAACAATACATTTTCAAAATGTTATATACAAAAACATGCCAAGTTTTTATAATGTTCCTTCAAAAATAAATGACTAATTGAAGTCTGTTTGGGTTTTTGTGTGTCCACTGACTATTTACTACATGCCAGGCACTGTGCTAGACATCAGTGAAACACATGGTCCCAAAAGTAGAGCTTCACAGTATAATGCCAAACTCTATTATTAAATGGAGTGAGAAATAAGGGTTAGAGCACAATTTCTTAAGCCTGACAATCGTTCATATATACATATATGGACAGTGAGAAGAGAGAGAAGAAGTGTGTTGTGTTATAGGAAACTGTATTGTCCTGATTTTCTTTAAAAGGGCCTTCCTAAAGAGATGTGTTGTAGTTTTATGCCTGGAAAGCATAAAAATTGGATTTATATCAGGTTGTAAGTATATAGTTCAGTTATTTAACAAATACTTATTGACTGCCTATCATGAGCTATGACAGGGCATGTAGTGATAAATAACACATAAGAACTCTCATGAATTGTAATCCAGTAAGAAAGATAATTTTAAACAAATAAAGAAATATGTACATTTAAGTTATAAAAAGTGCTTTGAAGAGAAAGTATATGCATTAAAGACAGCATACAATGGAAATTCAATTTGTGGGACTGTGGGGAGAGGTCAGAAAACATCTTACTAAGACAAAAATGTAGAAGCTGATATATAAAAATCAATTTGTTAGGGGCTGGGGTTGTGGTTCAGTGGTAGAGCGCTCGCCTAGCACATGCGAGGCCCTCAGCACCACATAAAAGTAAATAAACAAAATAAATGTATTGTGTAGAAATAAAAAATATTTTAAAAAATCAATGTTACCTGATCAATATCATAACCAGTGGCAAAACAAAACAGAACTAGAGTATCTGACTCCAAATCCAACCTTTCATTATACTAATTTGCTTTCTATGTATTTTTAGGTCCTTTTTCATTGTATTTCACAATCCTAGAACATTAATTTTAAAGACATGAACAAATGAAATCGACAAACTGACAAGTGTTTTTTGACGAGAGGAAAAACAAACGTGAAAATGCACATACCTCAAAGAGAATGTTACAAACATATGTAATCTGGTAATCTCTATAGTATTTAAAAATAACTATAAAAAGTGATTTTTATGTTTTTCCTGTAGAAAATGGAAGAAATCCCAAATAATTCTAATTATGGTGACTATTTGTTCTTTTCAGGGCTGTCATTAAGCCTTTTTAATATTCCTTTATGGAT